TTATATTTCATCTATTCTTTTGCTAATTAAACGGGCCTAGGTTCATATCATTCCTTTCGAGTGTGGGCTTCTGTTGATTCAGTAAAGCTAGTTCGATCGATTATCTACATCGAGTCGGCCCGTTGAACCCGAAATAATGTGAAATAGCTTTGAAATACGCGCTTAAGCTAATACAGCTCCACCAGCGTCAAACAGCGTCTATGGCAGAGAAAATTGTTTTGATATGACAAAATTAATTTCTCAAATCATGTGTTTCATTGTGGTGCAGTGGTGAAGGAGTTGCTTGAATGTGCAGATAAACCGGGTTCGACTCCCGGCGTCGCTGTTTTCTGTTTTTTTTTTTTGGACCGTGTTTTTTTCTGTTTGGTGTCTTTTTTTTAACACTATTTTTCCTTTTAGTCTTTTTTTCTTTATTCTTACTGCTGACCCTGCTGGTCATGCACTTGGATCAATATATATTTTAAGCTTAAGTGCGGAGTTTTACTTTAGAAAAGGGATTTCAAAAGCTCTTGAATGATCTGAATACTGGCCAAGCTTACGACCAGAAGTTAGATCACTATGGTTTTCATGGTGTTATAAATAAGTGGTTCCCATCTTACTTAGAAGGTCGAACTCAAACGACGCAAATTGGTTCCTTTATATCTAAAAGAAAAAATACCATTTGCGGTGTGCCGCAAGGCTCAGTCCTAGGCCCATTACTCTTCCTAATCTATGTCAACGACATCCAAGAATCCTCTGACAAACTTAATATTTTTTTATTTGCTGATGACACGAATGCCGTATATGCTGACAAAAGTCTCAAGTCCCTTGAGTCGATTCAGTGTAAATCAAGAACTCTGCACGTTGTTCGATTGGTTAACGGCAAATAAACTTACCTTGAATATCAAAAAAAACCAAATTTTGTCATTTTTAGACCGGCTCAGACAAAACTTACCAATCACCCTAAAATAATGATATTCGACAATGATCAAAATAAGAATGTGGCTCTAGAATGCAAAGAATTTGTGAGATATCTAGGTATAATAATTGACAATAATCTTTCTGGGAAACATCATATTGATCACGTAGCTATTAAAATGAGCCGAACTGGAGGATTGATCGGTAAACTACGGCATTTTCTGCCAAGACATACTCTTCTAAGGATTTATCGATCCCTTGTTGCTCCTTATTTAACTTATGGTTTGACGACCTGGGGCCGAGCATATAAATCGCACCTTGAAAAGCCTCTCAAGCTTCAAAAGCGAGCTCTTCGCTTTATCTATTTTTCTGAGCGAAATCAGCATGCAATTCCTTTATTTATTGACGCCGGTGTTTTACCGTTGAAATTTTTGTATTATGAGCATTTAGCTAACCTTATGTTTGAAATAAGACACAGTAATGCTCCTGGAAACATTCAAGATCTCTTTCAAGATATTTCTGATATTTATTCTTATAATACTGGATTCTCTGCCTCTAATAACTTTTACACACAAAGTTCCAGACTCTCAATTCAAGTGAATTCATTTTCTAGAATCGGAACAAAAATGTGGAATGAAATGCCTGTATCTTTAAGAAAACGTTCAAAAAATGCCTTTAAGAGGAAAATAAAACAAACACTTTTTGAGATCCTAGCTTCAGATGACTGTTATATTGATCACCCAGAAATCGTTAAAAAAGTTGAGTTGAATTTATTTTTCTCTTAGTTGATATGTAATCATTAATATCGTTTAGTATATCAGTAGTCTCTTGTCATAACTGTTGTCACTTATTATTAGTAATACCATTAGTTTATCAGTAGTCTCTAGTCATTGTTGTCAATTTTAGTTTCTTTAGTTCTCTTGTTACTTTTAGCTGTATTTAGTTGTATTTATTTCCTGTAAACATGACCCGCCTAGATTAGCTTAGCTACCCGCGGGCATGTTATTGTACTTTTACCTCAAAACACAATAAAATAAAATGTATGTATGTATGTATGTATGTATGTATGTATGTATGTATGTATGTATGTATGTATGTATGTATGTATGTATGTATGTATGTATGTATGTATGTATGTATGTATGTATGTATGTATGTATG